TATTATGTTTGCTATTTGACACTTTGCTGAAATGAAATTAGTGTGAGCTGCTACAATGGTTCTTCATGATTTACCTGCCTCCCCAAGATTGCTAGAAATGAAGCCTCAGGTGAGGAATGATACATCTTGTAGCCTCCAGTGCACAGGGATGAATACCCATACAGAGTGCCAGAAAGTGGCCAAAGTGGTCCCTCCCATTTTCTGCTTCATTCCCCCCCCCTGCCGAGCAGTAAGAAATGTTGTTACTTTCACCCCCACTAATGCATGTACATGTAATCACACACACATGAACAGTAAGGTATCATGTAACACACAGCCTACCATTTCACATGCCAGTGAGGCTTATTTTCAACTGTTAATAAATGGATTGTGAGAAGATTACGGTTTCTTTTTAGCCTACAGAAAAACACCCTCTTGGCTTTAGAAACAGTGCTGTACAGGCTACTGTGATGTAAGCAGAACACCGCACACAGCATAGCGTCTTCAACAATGTGCAGCAGGGAGCAGAGTCAGCAATACTTGCTATGAGAACAGGGGTTGTCTCAAGGCATAGCTGTGTTTTCTGTGGAGAAACGTGATGTGGCATTTCTTCTTCTTCAGTGTGTGGCCTGGGCTACATCCCTGAACCGATGTCATCAGAGATGCACAATAGCCTTTGGGCCTCCAAGTCACAAACCTGATCCAGAATTAATCTGGGACACTGGAGCTCAAAGCAGATGATGGGGCACGTCACCTATTCACATCCATACTCCTAATTTAAAGCATGTGAGACAGTGTGATGTAGTGATGGGAATGTTTGGCTGAGACCTGCCTTCAGCTGCCCTCTCTCAGCCTCTTCCCCTAGTGGGTTTGTTGTGAGGACAAAAGGGTGGAAGAGAACCACGTACACCACTCTAAGCTCCTCGAAAGAAAGGCAGAATTCAAATAAGATATCCATCATCCAACAGCAATGCAACAACTGTCAGGACCACCTTAACTTAGTTCTGGGGAAATCTCTGTAGATCAAGAAAAATCTTAGCCAAAGTTAGACAAACCCTTTCAATTGCTTTATTCATGTCCCAGCTTTCTCCCCAATAGAGACCCAAAGTTTCTTACATTGTTCTCCTCTCCTCCATTATAGCCACACAGCACGCCTGCGAGGTAGGTTAGGCGGAGACTACGTGACTGGCTCAAGGTCCCCCAGGAAGCTTCCATGGTAGAGTAAGGATTCGAATCTGAGTTTGCCAGATCCTAGCCCAGCACTTTAACCACTATACTACGCTGGATAACAAACATCCACACAGAAAATGAAAAGGGTGTTTTACACAACCCCAGAATTGCAACTCTTGCATGACTGATTGGGAACAGGAGATCATTATAGCAGTAGTTTGGTTCACCAGATTATGGTTTGAAGGAGCTCAATATAGCTTGATCTTTAGAAATAAATCAGTTTAGCCAGGCCACTTCCTGGGAGACAGCTTGGGATGCCATTCTGAGCTCTCTGAAAGGGGGATAGAGACATAACTAACCATCAGAAACTACCTTATGACATAAGTAACCCTTCACAGGAGTTTTCCTTATCAAGTTTTTGTTAGTTGATGGTGAATTCAGATCACCACCCCTCACTAGAGTTTGACATGGAAGAGATAAGGCAGCTTCATGCACATGCATTTTGTTACTAGTTTTGATATCTTGTCCAGCTGCTCTGCTGTCATAGGTTGAACAAACCTGCGAAAACTGGCTTGCTTGTTATACGATGCTAGTTTGTCATCATTTTGTGTGTGTGTGTGTGTTAACTGCCATCAAGTCGCTTCCAACTTATGGCAACTCTATGAATTAATGTCCTCCAAAACATCCTATCCTTAACAGCCTTGCTCCAGTCTTGCAAACGGAGGGCCGTGGCTTTCTTGATGGAGTCAATCCATCCCATGTTGGGTCTTCCTCTTTTCCTGCTGCCTTCAACTTCTCTTAGCATAATTGTCTTTGGTGTAGTGGTTAAGTGTGTGGACTCTAATCTGGGAGAACCAGGTTCGATTCCCCACTCCTCCACTTGCACCTGCTGGATGACCTTGGGCAAGCCATAGTTCTGGCACAGCTGTTCTTGAGAAAGAGCAGTTTCTGTCAGAGTTCTCTCAGCCCCACCTACCTCACAGGGTGTCTGTTGTGGGGAGGGGAAGGGAAAGGAGTTTGTAAGCCGCTCTGAGACTCCTTTGGGTAGTGAAGGGTGGGGTATAATCCAATCTCTACTTCTTCTTCTTTTACAGTGACTCTTGTCTTCCCATAATGTGACCAAAGTACGATAGCCTCAATGTAGTCATTTTAGCTTTCAAGAAGAGTTCAGGTTTGATTTGATCTAGAACCCACTTTCCCATTTTACAGCTGAAAAAACTGACAGCTTGTGCCAACATTACATTTCTGTGTTTGTGTGTCAGCTGGCAATTCTATGCACATTTACCTCGGAATAGGCCCTACTGAACGAAGCAATTTACTTCTGCGTAGGCGTGCTTTGGATTGCATTGTTGAAGGCACACATAGGGAAGCAGGTAACACACACAGCCAAAGGCACAAGTCTTCAGCCAAACAAGTCACAGCCAAAGGCACAAGAAAACAGAGCTTCCAGTTCTGCAGTGGAAGCTCCATAGGTTGCAAAAACTGCCAAATTGGCAGACATCTTCCCATCACTGCCTTGGAATGTTTTAATAATGTGTTCCAATGTTCTTATTCTGCCACTAGATGTCACTGTAGTGCTCCAGTTCTTTTGAACCAAGCAGATGTATTCTACAGAAACAAGTAACAGATAAACCACCAAGCAGGACCTTCCAGGCCATAAAGGATTTTAAACAATACTGAGAGAGATTTTCCTCCCACATGGGATTTAATACAAGTGAACATAGGTTTCTCTGAATTCTAGTTTCTTCTTCCTCCATTTTGTTTTTGCATTGTGACCATTTATTATTTCTATTTGGCCTGCAGCTTCTCCTGGGGGGGGAGGGGGGTAGGCCTCTTTTGTTTTTGGTTGAGTTTAACTCAGTTTTGTTGTGGTTTTTCTGTTGCTTCCTTGTCTTTTCACAGTTTATTTTGGTTAAGTTTTGTGTTCAGGGCTTCTGGAGTTTTTTGGGGGGTTCTGCTTGGGGCCTAGGTCTTTCTTTGTTGGTGTGCCTTTGGTTCTTCTTGTTGGGTCTCCTTTTTGCAATTAAGGTTTTTTTAAGGTCTGTCTGTGGGGGGTTTTTTGCTTGGTCTTTCTTGGGGGTCTTTCTTGGGTTTTTTTGTGGGGGGTTCTGCTTGGGGCCTAGGAAACAAGACACAGCATGTTATCAAAAGACATCACTGGAGAAGGCATGTGGATATAGAAAGCAGAAAGCAATTTTTCTATACAGTGCCTTTGGTTGTTGTTAAGGTTTTTAAGGTCTGTGGGGTCTTTTTGGCTTGGTCTGTCTTGGGTTTTGTGGGGGGGAGGTTCTGCTTGGGGCCTAGGTCTTTCTTTGTAGGTGTGTCTGGTTCTTGTCAAGGTTTTTAAGGTCTGTGGGTTTTTTGGCTTGTTGGTCTTCTTTCTTGGGTTTTTTTAGGGGGGGGTCCTCATAGGTTTGGTGGGGGGGTTAGGGTTCGGGGGGGGCTGTTGCCTTTTCTGTTCTGCCTTTTAGCAGGTTTTGTTTGGGCTTTCTTAGGCGTAGGGGAGGACTGTGCTCTCTGTGTGTGCTTCTGGTTTAGCTGTGTGTTGTGTTAAATAGGCTTTAAAAAAGGATACAGGTTTATTTTTAACAAATATTCTAAATCTTAGTATAGGGCTTTAGCTGTCTACCTAACTAGGCCAGTGGTAAGAGAACATTCAGAGGCAGGTTTGTCTTCACATAAAAGAAAGGTTTAAGTAGCATTTAATTATTTAAAAAGTAGAGAGCTTAGCTCTGTTTGTGCTGACTGACCTTTGGTGAAGCCAGGCACTCCCCCCCCCCTTTTAGATTGCTTTTCAATTAGGGAGCTTTTCCTGATTCCACAAGGGAATCAGGTGGTTCCAGTAGAATCTAGATAGGAGTAGTTCAAAACCCAAAAA